TCTCTCTCTCTCTCTCTCTCTCTCTCTCTCTCTCTCTCTCTCTCTCTCTCTCTCTCTCTCTCTCTCTCTCTCTCTCTCTCTCTCTCACCCTCACTTCTACACCCACGTCACCTCCCTCACACACGAAGACCACCACCACCTCCACTGGCTAATCCAAGCCGAGCCCGGCTACAAGGGCTGGCTATGGCCCTGCCCACAGCAGCAACACCCACACGCACTTGCACACTTGCGCTAGTGCAGCAGCTGGCGAGCGCTTGCTCCAGCAGCACTGCTGCATCTACACGCGAGTGCCCAAATGTCCACCCCGGAGCCCAGCCCTTTCCTATGTGGAAAGTGGCGGGCTCTTTCCACTTGCTTCCCACGTGAGACCGAGTTTCCAGTAGCTTCAGTCTCGGCCAAAGTGTCTGTGCCCAGGCCCGTTCAGACAGTGGCCTGGGACCGAATTGGTTAGGCATGCCCAACCGCCCAGGCACAAACGTGTTGTGCTCCCTGCTTCGACCACGTTGCTGGAAGAGCCTGGAAGGCTCACAAGTATTTTGGATTCTCTCGAGCAAGGTGGATGTAACCAACTGGCACGTGCTGTCTGGCGCCCACCAAGATTTGCAAAAATTGACGAACTCAAGGCACCTCGGGGTTCAGGGGCCCCGCCTTCACTTAGGGCGGGCACGCGCCTGCTGCAAGGCCTTAGCTGAGGGGTAACCCTCGCACTCCCTCCTCATTTACTTCGATAGTCCTCTGAGAAGTCGTTACACAGCAGGCTGCTTCTCCTTCAAATTTCATTCATAACTTGAGATAATTTGGGGAGCAGTCTTCATCAACTCCTCTCTTGTCAACCAATCTTCTTTAGGATCAGTATGATGTCAGAACTTCACTCGATACTGCATCTGTGGTTTTGGAGGGCATCCCCTGCCTGGAGGCTTGGGAACAGGTATCAGCTTGTGCTGGGCAATATCGTCAATGTCCACATGTCCATCCATGGTTGGGGGCAGCATCGATCTTCTTGAGGGAAACTGTTCAGTTTCAGCGAAGTGTGCCAAAGTAGATGCATGGAAAACAGGGTGTGTACGGAAGTGACCAGGAATGCGAATAACATTCAATGGACCATCGGGTTGATCTCCTACTATGTCTAGAATTTCCCAAGGTCCAAAGTACCGTGGCATCAGTTTGCGTGATATTCCCAACTCCTGTCCCAACTCAGATGATTTTATCCAGACTCGTTCACCTACCTGAAATGCAGACAGTCGTCTGTGTCTGTTCTCAGATGCAACCATGACATTTTGAGCTCTCTTGATGTGTTCTATAGCCTGCTGCAGCATCTGTTCGTACTCGATAGCAAACTCTATGATACCAGGTGCTGTGGTTGGCTGGTTCTCAGGCAACAGGAAGTCAAGAGCACATCTGGGCTTCGAACCAAGATGCAGCTGGTTGGGGGTCTTACCAGTAGTGTTGTGCACAGCATTGTTGTACAGGCTGGCGATGAGAGGTAACTTCTCATCCCAGTTTTCTTGACTTAATATGGTGCTGAAGCAAGTGCTGCACTACCCGGTTCATCTGCTCGGCCTGTCCATTTGACTTAGGGTGGTTCCCTGATGTCATTTGCAGTCAAATTCCCATCTGTTGGGCTGTACTTCGCCACAGCTCGCTAGTCAATCTGACATCCCTGTCGCTCACAATAGACTTCGGGAGACCGAAGTCACGTACCCACTTGTCCATAAATAGTTTGATGACGTGGTCAGTCCTAGCTGTCTTAGGCATAGCGATTAGTCTAGCATACTGGGTGAACCTGTCCACAATGACGAAGATGTGACATTTATCGCTTTTGCTGGCCACGAGAGTATCCATGAAATCCATGGAGACACTTTGACCAGGACCAGCAGGTATAGGCAAGGGCTTAATAAGCCCAAGTGGTGCCTGCGTCCACGGGTTGTCCCGTTGACAAACTTGACAAGTCTCTATATACTCTTTCGCAACCCCCATCATTGTGGGCCACCAAAATTTCTGCACTAAGTTTGCAACTGTCTTTTTATAGCCGAAATGTCTGGTTGAATCGTGACACTCACCTAAAATAAACTATGCAAAAACTCTATTCAGAACACACAAACGTTTATTCCTAGCCTTCTCAAGGAACAACAATCCATCAACGCCCAAACTCATCAGAAGTAGCCTCGTCTTTAGCTTCCAGTTTGCGGATGATCTCAAACATGACAGTGTCCTTTGGATAGGCTTCCATCATAGATCGAGTTATATCATCAGAAATCCCAAACTCAGTCACTAGTGCGCGCAGATAGTCTGCCCTACGGGATAGTGCATCAGCCACGTTGTTATACTCACCCTTCAGAGGGTCGAGCTTGAAGTCGTACATATCTATGACTTTTTCTACTCTTAAGTGCGTCGGAGAGCACAGGCTGTGTCTTAATCCAGCGGAGCGTCTTGTGGTTAGATCTCACATAAAAGAATCTGCCTAGGAGGTAGTGCCTCCAATGGACCAGCGCTCTGTAGAGGGCATGGAGCTCACGCTCATATGTGGACTTCATTAATTTCTGAGCGGCATCTTTTTGCTCATGTACTCAATCAGCCTCAACTTTTTTCCCTCCTTCTGCGCAAGGACCGCGTCACAACAAAGTGTTTTTCAAGATCTAGAAATTTGAGGGCATCATAGTGCGCCAGGGCATACTTCAATCTCTTGAAGGATGCCTCACACTCTTTGGTCCACTCCCATGGGGTGTCAAGGCGCGTGAGGTCAGTTAGAGGGAGGCTACAGTACTATAATTCTTGACAAACGGGCGGTAGTAGCCTGTTCAGCTTGTTCATCCCCAAGAATGACCTCACCTCAGTCACAGATTGAGGTCTGGGCCGGTCACGTATGCTGGCCACTCTGGCATCATCCGACCACAATCCATTTGCGGAATCTCATGACCCGGATACAAGATCTTGGTGCGACCGAATTCACATTTCTCCACATTAACTTTGTACTTGTGCTGTCGTAGGAGACCTAGCACTATTTTTAGGTGCTCAGCGTGCTCCTTTACAGTCCTACTAAAGATAAGGAAATCGTCGAGGTAAAGTAGTCATGAAAGATCCGATTCATTGCATGCTGGAACGTCCCAGGAGCATTGCATAGGCCAGAGGGCATCACCACAAACTCGTACAGACCGTACCTGGTCGGAAATGCGGTTTTGTGCTGGTCCTTAGGTCTAATAGCAATCTGATGGTATCCGGACTTCAGATCTGTCTTAATGAAGTACCGACATCCCTGCACTCTATCCAAGAGGTCGTCAATGCGTGGTAGGGGCTTCGCATTCTTAACGGTGATGGCATTGAGGCCTCTATAGTCGATGCACATCCTTAGTGTCCGCCCTTTCTTTGGGACAAATAAATCTGGCACTCCGTAGGGGGACGTACTTGGTCGAATCCTGTGAGCTCCATGAGCTGGCGGCGGAGCTCACCTAACTCCGCAGGAGACATCGTATAAATCCGCCCTCTAGGTACTTTGCTACCGGGGAGGACTTCTATCGCATGGACAATCTCCCCTTCTACCACACCCCTAGGCTCTTCAAAGAGGTCTGAATATTGTGCCACGACTGCTTCTATCTCTGGGGGTGATTTTACGACCCTTTCTTAGAGACAAAGACTAGGTACATTCCTTCCTCACGTTTCTGCTTGTAGCAGTTATAGAAAGACGATGCGCACATGCAACCATAGTTCTCCACTAGTCTGCTAGCCTTGAACTACAGCAGCGTAACGGTCCTTCCATCTGACAACTTGTGGATCATCACATCACCTTCCTATCCCAATCAGTTGAGGCTTAACAACCTCGAGGTAGCACATGCCTAGCAACATGTCCAATGGCAACTCGTCGCTCACCAGGAACGATATTTTATGTCTCGGTTCCCTCCCTCCATAGGAGAAGGTGCAGACTACGTCCTTGACATGGTCTTTCAGTATCATGGAGTGCTTGTTGACTAAGGGAGATGCTACAGATTTGCTAAGCCACCGCACTTGGTCCCCTAAGCGCACCCTATCCACACAAGCACGGCTGATGAAGTTTCGCGTGGAACCTATGTCTGCGAAGGTGGTAACCTTTCGGCCACCTACATCGACTTCTACCACGAAGAGTTACCCTTTTGAGCTTTGTTCAACATCACCCAGGAGTCTTTAGGGTCCTTCTCTAACCACTCCGTCTCTAACTCCTCTAAGAACAGACACATCCATCGAACAGAGCATCGATTGTTCCGCGGATATGTCTACGGGGCGATCATGGGGTCTATAGCCTTGGCCATCGTCTGAAATGGAGAAGGTAAAGTAACCACTTCAGCACGAGTAAGAGCGGCTAACACTCCTACTGACCCGAGGTGTTTCCCTGGGAAGTGCTCGCAGGAGCACCACCAGAGTTGGAAGATCCAACCGTCACTATTGAGGACACGACCTTCATAGCGACCCGCTTACTCTTGCACTTGGCCATTGTGTGCCCATATGGGCCACAATTTAGGCAAGCACCTCGTGCAACACGGTCTAGCCACGCCTCGTACTCTAGACAAGCTTCACCCATATCGGTGGTCCTTGGTCACTTTGGCCCTTGGGCCGGCCTACCTTGTTTCTCGGCCCCGTTAATAGGAGCAACTACTCCATCTGAAGTCTCTACACTCCCATCTATCTCTGTTTCTTCCCCAAGGTCAGAGAAGTCATCAATCTCAGTCGCTTGATCATCATGGTTAACGAACATGAGATTGCCTTTCTTCCTCCAATCTTGAGGGAGTTTCTTCTTCCTCCCATCCACGGGTCCCTATTAGGCACTCCTAAGCCTAGCCTCTATGCATAAGGCTTTCTTGCTGAATGAAGCAAAGTTATGTATGTCGATGGAGGCCTCGTCAACCAACTTACTTTTGACATTTGTAGGCAGAC